TATATATATATATATAAAGATATAGAAATTGTCTGACATTTACACAAATCCTCATTTAAAAAAAAAAAACATTTTTCTTATTGTAAGAACGAGTGAATGGATCCATTTTGCCTTGCCGCACTGCTAGCGGTCAGGTTTCTCTCAAAAAGTTTTGAAGTTGGCGCCTATTAAATCTGTATCTAATTTGATTTTTTGGTAAAAGGGTGGAGCTTCAGTCTAAAGATTTCCTCTCTACTTTCCAAAGAGGAAGAAAAGAGGGTGCTTGGCTAACACAACTATCAAAATGGAGGAATTCAATGAGCCATTCATCAAGGCTAACAATCCTGCTAAGAAGCCCATATGGTCCTTCATCCTGAAAGCTCATGAGGCCTCCATTGCTCTCAAAAACCAATTTCCCATTCCCATTTCTACTAAAACTGGCAAACAAGGCAAGCGAAGTTTCCTCTTCAGCTTCATCAGCGGTCTTCTGCTCTGCTCCTCTCTGGTTCTTACTTTAGAAACAGTGGCCTATTGGAATGGTTGGTATCTGGAAAACCCTAAAAGCATTGAGAAAGAGGGATGGATGCATTTGACTTACCTTTCGTGGATCATATTTCGAGCCAGATATATTTCCTTCCCAGTTCAGATTTTGTCAAACTTTTGTATTGTTCTTTCAGTCATACAGTCCATGGATAGAATCATATTGTGCCTCGGATGCATTTGGATCAAGATCAAGAACATTAAACCGAGAACTGAGTGCGGAGCATTCAAAGCTGAGGCTGATTTCCCTATGGTTCTGGTGCAGCTTCCAATGTGCAATGAGAAAGAGGTAAGAGAAGCGCTTGTTGATTAACCTAAAAGGAAATGTTCATGGTATATAGTTACTTGAGATTTGAATGTGAGGTTGGGTTCAGGTATATGAGCAATCGATTTCTGCTGCCTGTCAACTTGATTGGCCGAATGATAGGATCTTGATCCAAGTTCTAGACGACTCAGATGATGAGAGAATCCATCTCTTAATTCAAGCTGAGGTTTCCAAATGGAGTCAAAGAGGAGTAAATATTATCTACAGGCACCGTTTATCTCGATCTGGGTTTAAAGCAGGAAACCTCAAATCCGCCATGAGTTGTGACTATGTAAAGAACTACGAGTTTGCGGCTATGTTTGATGCTGATTTTCAACCAGGTCCAGACTTTCTTAAGAAAACAGTTCCTCACTTCAATGTAGGAACACTAAACTCTTCCGAAATTCATGGATTTTGTGTTTATTGTGTTATGTTAATCCTTTTTTATATTGTGGTGCAGGGAAATCCAAATCTTGCTCTAGTTCAAGCAAGGTGGAGCTTTGCAAATAATGATGAGAATTTGTTAACTCGATTTCAATATATAAATTTGTGCTTCCATTTTGAAGTGGAGCAACAGGTCAATGGGGCCTTCTTCAACTTTTTTGGGTTCAATGGAACAGCAGGTGTTTGGAGAATTAAGGCATTGGAGGACTGTGGAGGTTGGCTTGACAGAACAACTGTTGAGGATATGGATATTGCTGTTCGTGCTCACTTGTGCGGATGGAATTTTATCTTATTAAATGATGTCAGGGTGAGTTGGTTCATTCTGCAATATTTATTTATTTCGTCTAATTGTTAATCATGCCTACCACAAAAATTAGCTTGCTTTTTTTTCTGCAACATTTTGTAGTGTAATTTTATGAGCAAATCCTATTGACAGGTGCTTTGCGAGGCTCCAGAATCATATGAGGCTTACCAGAAGCAACAACACAGATGGCATTCTGGTCCTATTAATCTATTCCGCTTATGCCTTCCTACTGTTTTAACTTCAAAGGTTTGAAATTTTGTTATTTTCTCTTGATGTTGTTGTTTGTGATCATCTAAATAGGAAGATTTTCTTGCATTATAACTTCTAATCAATCCATCGCCCCGGAAGACATCAAAATCTTTAACAAAATCAAATTTTTGATATGAATATGCAGATATCAGCTTGGAAGAAGGCAAATCTAATCTTCTTATTCTTTCTATTAAGAAAGTTAATTCTTCCATTATATTCATTCTCATTAATCGGTTTCATTCTCCCTGCAACCATGTTCGTTCCTGGAATCGAGCTGCCAATTTGGCTTATTTGCTATGTGCCATTCATTATGTCCCTCTTTAATGGATTCTTGGCACCTGGATCTTTCCCTTTTCTTCTGCCACATCTCTTATTTGAGAACACAATGTCAATGACAAAATTCAGTGCCATGTTCTCTGGATTATTACAACTTGGGAGCTCACATGAGTGGATTGTCACTAAAAAGGCCGGTCGGTCATTGAAACCAGAAATCTTGGATGAGATTGAGATAGATACAAAGTGTAATACTTTTGATCTTCGTAGAAGAGCATTGGATGGCAAGGTTGTGGAGAAAAGTAAATCAAAGGAGAAGAAGGAAGTGAGTTCTGTTTCAGATGAGAAAGATAAGAAGATTTACAGGGAAGAGCTTGTTGTTGCTCTCTTCCTTCTTGTAGCTGCAGGCAGAAGCTTGTTGTCAGCTAAAATTATTCACTTTTATCTGTTACTCATTCAAGGGATGATGTTTCTTATTGTGGGATTTGGTCTGTTCACTTAGTAGACTGGATCAAAAAAATAGGGAAAATTTCTAGCGATATTATATGATTTGATCTAATGTTCTTCAGTTTGAGAGTATATAAACTTATGTTATGTAGCAATTATACATTTGGGAAGAACAACCACTGCAAGTAAAATAGTGAGATTACCATTATGATGAATCCCGGGTGTAAAGGGATCTAGTAAGTTGATCCCTATTTGTATTATAGTTGTTATTGATTGCTTGCTTACCTTCTCTCATTCAAAAAAGAGAGAAATAAAGTATTTGGATTTTGTCATGAAAGGCTTCTTTTGTTGCATGATTCAGTTCAATTTAATCTTACAAGAATGTTTAAATGCAAACTAAAATTGCATATTAAATAGAGATCCTTTGGTGTCTTCCTCCTGCGATCTCTTGCTTTGCTGGAGTTCCTCGCCTCCTGATATTCTATCTGTGTGTCGCATTCGCCTCCTAACTCAGGATTGTTAAAATAACCTACTCATAAATTTTTGGACAGAAGTTTTCATCACTGCTATCTATCTTATTAAACACAGAAGTTGTCATCACTGCTATCTATCTTATTAATCGTCAATCTTCTAGTAATAATAAAAATCAATCATCTTTTCAACTCTTATATCAACAACCACCTGAATATCAACACTTAAGAAACTTCGGTTGCCTTATTACTTTTGATGACATCACAATATATCAGATAAACTTTCGCCCAAAGCTCCCAAATGCATATTCTTGGGCTATAGTACTCAACACAAATGTTACAAATGTTTAGATATTTAGGAAAAGAAATTTATTTTCTTCAGTCCTGTCAAATTCATTGAACATATATTTCCTGATAAAATATTGTTGTCTCATCACTGTCTTCAGTTCAACCCATAAATTACCCACCAGCCTTCCTCATTTCTACCTCCACCATTCCTCCCGCTAATTCCCCTTTGGTCATTAATCACACAATACCATCTCCCTGAACAACTCACAACATCAACCCACAAATATCATTTCTTCTCTTAGCCATCCTAAGACAATTACTCCACCTCCCGGCCCTCATTTTTCTTCTCCTGCTCAACAACCAATTCGCTTTCCATTGCACAAACAACACACTAAAGAGACGCAGGCTCAAACTGGAAATTTGAAAGCCACCAGAATTTTTGATTTTCAACATAGTACTTACACTCAAATCGAACCACACGGAGCATTACTAGAAGACTGATAGGATTATCTCAAAATTCAGAAACTTAAGGATTTATGCAATTATCTGATACTTACTATTATCTCATGTACATAGGCCAAGCAGCTTTACTGAAACCCGTCTACTACAAAATTGCATGTTCTAACACATCGACGCCCGGGCACACAACAACGGGTCTCTGACCACTCCCGCTCGCTTTGTCAATGTAAACAAAATAATTATTTTTTTTTGCTTTTTTTGGCTATTAATATTTAAAATGACTATTAATATTCAATTTTAAATATGAATGATGAGTACGAGCAACTCCGAGAGAGACAAATGGCTAGTTAGACCTCGACATACGCTAGAAGTAGTAGTAGCCATTCTACCACTGCTCAGTCCGATTTTAAGCTATGGAAGCAAGCAATGGGGAAGAAGAATGGGAGGGTGTGCGACCTAGGCGCAAAGGGCAATGCGTTTGACGGCGAGCGCTCTCATGTTGTTGTGGGTGGCCCTAGCTTGTTACAGGCTCGACATGATGAGCTTGCCAAACGGGTCAGTGCAATGATTGAAGAGCTCTGATAGATGTTTGAGGGCCAATGGATGGTTGCAAATTGTCTAGCAGTTTGGCAGAGAGTTTTGATCACCGATGCAAGCGGCATATGAGTATTGTTGATGGGATGTTGAGGACGAGGATAAGGATTTTCATTATGTGTTTGATGATATTCCTCTATTATAGAGTCTACTGTTTTTTTTTTTTCATTTATGTTTCTGTTAATATTCATTTTAAGTATAGTTGTGAATTTGAGCATTTACATGTGTACTTGTTAAATTAAATTTGGTATCACTCTTTGGACTTGTTAGTGATTTTTTTTGTTGTGATAAAAAATAAGTTTTTATGATGTTTGTATTTTATTATTTGCAGGCATGTAAAAATCTTAAAAATCTAATCTTTGCTTTGCTTTTTTTTTTTTCTTACAAATTTGCCTTGAAATTGCACCCGATGTAAATCAATAACAAACATTCGATATACAGCGACACAATTCCGTAGCAAGGGAAATTTCCATCAACCATATGTCAGTTCTGCGTCGACGAAATTTTGTTACGACGGAAATTTTGAATCTTCCAACGTTACTCAGCAGAATTTCTGTAGTGAATGGGGGCCTGGAGATGGTAACTCGGTGGTGTCATTGGTGCTCTGGTGATGACAGCCGCGGCGACAACGTCGGCGAAATAATTGTGGTCTAGCGACAACTGTTGCGGGTGGTCCAGTGGGGCAGAGGTGAGAGGCTCCGAGGCTGTGATCCGGAAATGACTGCAATGGCAGCATCAGCGCCTTTTATAGGCAACAGTGAGATTGGTGACATTGATTTCACGGCAGTGGCGGCCAGGCAATGGTAATGGCAGCAGCATCATTGCCCCTAAAATTATTAAATGTTCTTTATAATCATGGCAACACATGTTTTGAAATTTACTGTCCTTAAAAGATATGCTCCGAAAATTACAAACTGAACTCACGTTCAGGTTTCTACTGGCGTAACTCGTCCTGCCTGTGTAGTTTATTATTATCAATAATACTATTCCACTGTAATCGTTTGTTAGGCTGTTGCTCTTTATGATGTCATTGCTACCACCATTCTGAAATCCGATATTAGGAATGTATTGTTGCCGTCTCTGCGTCATTTTCATTTTAATGTCGTATAAGTAAATATCCGCCTCTCAAAATAAAATTTGTTTAAACCCTATTATACTTTAGTCCGATAGATTCAATTTTACCAGTAATTTGTTTGGTTTGATTTTTTAAATTTCAGTTTTTGGATAAAATTAAATTGACTAATTTTTAAATAAATATAGAGACTTGATACGGCACCAACAAATTTTCATCATTTGACATGAATCTCGAGACAATATTTTGAGCGATAAATATTAAAATCTAGATAAAAAGTCATTCAGAGCTCCGATTTCCGCAAACTTATAGTTAAACTAACCGACTCGATGAGAAGAACCTAATGGTATCAAGATTAGTCCAATCCGAGCCTGATTAAGCTCATATCAAATCATTAAACTACTCTTAAAGGATTTCCGAACACATTTGGAAGGTCAAACGGATGTCGAATTTAGCGAGTTCATTGTGGAATCAAGTGTCTCGATAAGTCGAATCCAACGAGCCCAAGATTGCTCAATTCTGACATCGTTAAGGTACTCAAATGTTCATCAAACGTCATCTGATTGAGGGAAGCTCTCTGGATAGTCCGATTAAAATGGTTCCTATTTCTGCATTAATTGCACTCAGAACACTATAAATAGAGCCACACCCCTCACATGAGGGGAAGACTGGAGAGAGAACTTGAGGAGAAGAAGCTCAAGCTCATCAACATTTCTGCCATCATCGATTGTCGTCGACCACCACCGATCGTCAGCGACTAACGCCGACCTCCGTTGACCACCACCAATCACTGTTGACTAGACACTGTCAGTCGGCGTTGTAAGTTGGAAAATCTAGTAACCCTTCCCCGCCTGTGGGACAAGGGACCGCTGTATTCATCAACTTATAGTGAATTTTTATAATTAGGTCAGACCCTGTGATTTTTTCTTTTTACGGGTTTTTCACGTAAAACTTCTGGTGTCATCACAGGCTGTTTCCCTTTCAGCTGAGTGTGTGTTGAATCCTCGTGCAACGCTAAGACGATAATGCATTACTCTACCGCCGCGAATTTTCTAGCACTCACAAGGCTTTTACATACACAACACTCAAAATTTTCATACTTATGTCTCATCTAAACTTTCATAATTACAAACATCATCTAAAAAGTAGCACTCATTACGATATTTTAATAGTTAAATTCATCATGTCATGCATAAGTGCAGTGCTACTTATGTATATGTACAAAATGAAATTTTAGGTATGAGAAAGGTAAATCTATGAGACTTGGGTGCTATGTGCAATTTCCCCCATAAATCTATTTACCCTCGTTGGTGCATACTGAAATGATTAGGATCCTAACTTTTAAGTGTGCAATTAAATTAGTAATATAAAAGAATTTAAGCGGAAAAGTAGTTGGCACAGTTCTCGAAGCACAGCGAGCTCCCTTAATAATAGAAATGAATATAAATCCCTAAATAAAAAAATAAAAAATAAAAAAAAAGATAAAAATTGATTTATGGAATTTGCATGTAAGAGGTCAATGTTAAATCATGTTGAAAATCATTGCATTACGATGCAACATCTTGACATAATATGTGTATGAAAATTGTGTCATATGACGCGATGGAACACTAAAATTAACATTTATTATAGAAGTGATCGAGAATTAACTATATTTAATTACAAAATAAAATAAATAATTAGCTTATTTATAAAAATATGAAACAAGTATTCATTTATATATATATATTTTTTTTTCGCTCACAGAGTTATGAATTTAGCTCGAAAATTATTCAACCGCTCAAAAATTCATTCGAATTTTGACCCGAATCAAGATTAGATCGAAATAAAAGAGTAGAGCCATTAGTCAAAATTTTGGATTAATTTTTTTTCAAGATGATTTAGGGAGATCGGCTTGAAATCGAATTGTTAACTGACCTTGTGATGTTAAGATTGTGATTTAGCAAATGTAGCCCGAAGATCATTGATCGCTCAAAAATTGATTCTAGATACTAGAAAAATGCCAACACGAATCTCAAAGGAATGGAACGGCCAGGAATGGAGACTCAGGCGATTGAATTTTTGGCAAAAGAAAAAGAAATCCACTAGTCAAGCAATCGATCGATAGAAGCTTTCAACTGACATATTATCGACCGATGAACCTCTTGTTGGAATCGAGCAATTTCTTTTGATCTGTCCATCGGTCTCCTCAACAAAATTGACTGATTCGGCCGACCAACCTAACCTGCTAAACTGGGGTATCTGACAGTCGGTAAATATTATATTTCTATGTATTATAATATAATATCCATTCGATAGGATTTAATTATTTGGACGATTATTATAATTATTTTCTTCTTTTTATAAGAACCCCTATAAGTAGGAGGTTCAAGATAGAGAAAAGGAATTTTTACTCTCTTTTGGCTCTCTCTCTTTTTCTCTCTCTCTCTCTTCTCCTAAAATTTAATTATTTTTTACTTATGTAAAATGATAGTTTAATTCTTTGTCCTCCTGAAACATCAATTTTGTTCGTCCTAAAATACCACTTTAACTTTAATTGATTAAGTCTAGGGATTTAACAAATTTTCTTCGAGCCAAATAGAATAGTTAAACGGTCTTAACCGCTCTCAATAATGAGGATTCTGCTGTATTCCCCCTCACCAAAGTCCAGCCGATGCATGCAGCTATCAACCGCCTCCTTTCATCCGCTGCCCTCCGTTCCTTCTCTTCCACGGCCCCTGCGGCGGCCGTAATCTTCCAGCAAAACATCCTCATCACGCGGCTTAGCCGACAAGGCCGCATCTCTGAAGCTCGCCAGCTGTTCGACGAAATTTACCATCCGGATCTCATTACCTGGACCTCCCTTATCGCCGCCTACGCCGGTGCGGGACAGCTTCGCGAGGCCGAGCTTCTCTTTTACCGCTCAGATGCTCTCCGTGATGTCATCACCTGGACGGCCCTCCTCTCAGGCTATGCACGTGCAGGTCTTTTACGGGATGCTGAGGAACTCTTCGCCCAGATGCCTGAGAAGAACGTCGTATCCTGGAACACTATGGTCTCTGCTTACGCTGAAAATGGAATGGTCGATAAGGCTCTTGACATGTTCGATGAAATGCCTTTGACAAATGTTGTTTCTTGGAACACGATTATAACTGCATTGGCTCAGTGTGGCAGAATCGAGGAAGCCTGCGAGCTCTTTTTTCAAATGACAGAGAGAGATGTCGTTTCATGGACAGCAGTTTTGTCTGGTTTGTCGCAGAATGGCAGGGTTGATGATGCACGGAAGGTTTTTGACCAAATGCCTCATAGAAACGTAGTATCTTGGAATGCTATGATATCAGGCTACATGCAGAATATGAGAATTGACCAGGCTATGCATCTTTTTGAAGCTATGCCGGAGAGGAATATCACTTCCTGGAACACGATGATCACTGGGTTTATACAGAACAGGGATTTAAAGTATGCTCGTAAGCTGTTTGACGAAATGCCTTTGAAGAACGTGGTATCATGGACTACAATGATAGCAGGGTACACACAGGAAAGGGACAATGAATCAGCACTGAAAACCTTTATGGAAATGCTATCTGTTGGAACCAGGCCTAATGAGGGCACATTTGTGAGTGTTCTGACTGCCATTAGCAGCACTGCAGCTCACATTGAAGGCTCACAAGTCCATCAGTTCATAAGTAAATCCAACTTTCAAGTCTCTCCATTTGTGCAATCTGCTCTCATAAGCATGTACTCCAAGTGTGGTGATATCTTAACAGCTCGAAAAGTATTCGATGTCTCAAACCAAAAAGACTTGGTAAATTGGAATGGGATGGTAGCAGCTTATGCAAATCATGGCTATGGTGAAGAAGCCATTAATTTGTTTAAGGATATGAGCAGCAGATGCTTGAAGCCCAATGACATAACTTACATCGCACTGCTTTCAGCTTGCAGCCACTCAGGTTTAGTTGATGAGGGACTGATGCTCTTTGACTCTCTGGTGAAGGATGACTCCATTGAAATGAGAGATGAACACTATGCTTGTTTAGTGGATCTCTGTAGCCGGGCAGGTAGATTAGATGGGATTGCTTGGGTTGATATTGAGAACCCTTCTGCTTTTGTATGGGGTGCTCTGCTTGGCGGGTGTAACTTGCACAGGAATGTGAGTCTTGGGAAATTGGCAGCAAGGGAAGCATTGAAAGCAAATCCATGCAATAGTGGGGCGTATTTGTTGTTGTCAAATATCTATGCCTCCGGTGGTGGATGGAAGGAAGCTGCAGAAATTAGATCAGAGATGGAAGATAGAGGATTGAAGAAGCAACCGGGATGCAGTTGGATTGAGATTGGCAATATGGTTCACGTCTTTTTAGCGCGGGATAAGTTTCACAGCCACTTTGATTCGATTGAGAGGATGCTTCAGGAACTTCATCATGAGATGAAGATGATGAAATATGTATCATCAGTTTGTGATTAGGGTAACAGAGATGAGTGAATGGCTCACAATGCCTTCTCTTCTCCATATTTTTCAATATTATTTAATTAGTATTTAAAGATTTAAAAAACATATGTGATCAAGGAGGATCGATACAAGATTTTGGATGCACTGATTTAAGAATTTTGGCAAAAACAATCAAAGCAGTATTCCAAATAAATTGACACTCATTCTCTACATGAGGGGAGATCAAGGCCTGATTTGGCGAGAGCCCAAAAACTTCAAAAACTTAAAATTTTTGGTCACTCAGACATTGCATTGTGGTACCATTGCCAAACCACTATTTTGAGTACCATTGCCAAACCACTAATTGCTAACACCATTGCATTGTGGTCACTCAGACATCCATGATTGAACCATTGCCTCTTAATCTTTTATCATTGGACCACCACAACCAAACTATTATCATCACAGGTTACGTTATCACGACATTATTTCCTTACCACCGCTATCATATCATTGTTTAGGGCTTAGGGTTTAACTATTATCATCTTTCGACCTCTGACCCCACTTAGTGGGATTAAGGCTTTGTTTTTGTTGTATCATCTTTCGACCATTTGCATTCGATTGCCAATGCTATCGACTATTATCATTGACTATAATCTCCTAATCATTATTATTTATGCATGGTAAATTGACATCATTATTCAACAACAATTTCTTTTTTTACTATTACGCTCAATTTCTATTTTTCTACTACTACTACCCAACAAAAGTTTTTTTACCACCAACCCTTAATTATGATTCACTAAACACTATTACTCTATTGTTGCCACTCAGCTATCATCATTCAACCATAAACAATCAGCCATGATCTCCCAATCACAAATTTTTAACCAATATTATTCAAATTTGGTCTCTTATCCATTATCGTTTAACCATAGTCTCGCGATTATTTTCGCCCATTCTATTAGTATATTCCATCGACTTAATTACCAACAACATGAACATACATTATTGTTAATAAAATTGATACATGTCGGGCATGTAAACAAGTCGAGTCCAGCTCGAGAATTATTCTAGGAGTTCATACCTACTCACGAGTCAACTTGATTAATATAAATGCAAGAAAATACTATTAATTTAAACTAGTATTGTAATAAAATATCAAATAGGATTTAAAATTAGGAAATAATAATAATAAATCATTTGATATAAACTGTAAAAATACCTTTTTTTATATTTTTAATAATTTAAATATAAAGTCTCAAATTTTATCATTTTCTTAGCACATTTTATATTAATTATATTTTAAACCAGTGAGCTGAAGAGCTGACGAGTCGGGTCGGGGCCGGCATTCTTTACAACGTGACACTCATAGGATTAGGTAGCAAAAAGATATCACTAGAAAATGTTAGTGCAATCATCGACCTAACCTGCATTAATTTAAATAATATTATGTAATAATTACGTAAAGATTAAATATAATTTCATGCTCAAAATGATGGCACGAAAGCGCACACATTCAGAGAAAACGGTTAACAAATAATTAAAAAAGTCTTTTTTATAAATCTATCATACATGTAAAGTGAGCTCAACGTTGCCGACACTTTGTGGCCTATGTGATACCATCACAATTTTAAATAATTCCGAAATTTGTCCTTCTGGGAGTATGGTAATTTAATTATTTATTCACCCACATTGGGGATAGGTTTATTTATTAAATATTTATTTTTTGAAGTATTGTATATGTATATATATACATCTATATATATGTAGATTCCCCTAATTAAAAGGTCCGAAAGCCTTGAGCTGCTTTTGCATCAAATATGATTCTATAAGAAAATTAAATAAAAAAAAAAAATTATTAGAAGTAGTTAAAGAAGTGGATCAGATAAGAGCTGAGGAAGAAATTATGGGCACGCATGGCATCATGATCACCACCTTGTCATCTGTTATCTTCAATAGCTTCACCGTCGTGGATTAAAATTAAAAATTTTAAAAACTCAAAATTATGAAATAAGACTCTAAAACACGTACAAATTCTTTTTAGAAGCTCACAAAATTTTTCTTGAGACTTAATTGATAACTCATAAAAAATATGGGATATTTATACAGGTTTAGAAGTAAACAATATCACACATTATTCGCCAAACAAACTAATATTCATAGGCGGAACCAACATCTTTTTTTATGGAGGGCAAAGTTTTCCCCTAGTCCCAACCTTAAAGGAGCTAAGGTAATGAAGGTTGATACGTCATCAACAAATTTCTATTTTCTAACACGAATCTCGAGGCATGACACAAATCTCAAGACAATCTTTTGAGCAAGAATATTCAAACCTAAACCAAGAGTCGTCAAGAGCTCTGATTTCAACTAACTTATAGTCAAACTAATCAGTTTGATAAGATGGATGATACCAAAATTGAGTTAATCCAAATCAAATCTAGCTCAAATCAAACCATTAAATCACTTTTCAAAGCTTTCAAGCATATTTGAAAGGTCAAAGTGATATTTCAAAAAGAAAAAAAAAACTGATATTTAGGGAGGGACAGAAGACACAATTGCTCTCCCATAAAATTAAAAATATGAATTTGAACAAGGGGAAATTACTGATATTTCAAGAGGGGTAAAAGATCAAATTGCTCTCTCAATTAAGTAAAAATTTGAATTTGAGGGGGGACAGCCCTTTATTTATTATAAAGACAATTTCTAATACAAAACAAGTTTATTCCTACCAGTTACAGAATAGACTCAAATAAGACCTGGGAAAGAAATTATGGGTGTATAAGGCACCATAATCTTCACCTTCTCATTTGCTATCTTTAATGGCTTCACCGCCATCATTGCCTCCTCCTCCTCTTTTTTCCATGAATCCCGCGTGCACTGAGTATTAGTAACCCTCTCAGGCTCAACTTTGGCAGCCCATTTAAAGAAATGATTGAAACACAAACACAAACACAAACACATGAATTATTTGTGTTTTTTTTTTTTAATTTCTCTTAATTAATTTGATTAACTTATGATCACATAGAGAAGCCTTTTATAAATGATGAAATTTGGCTTTTCACTTCTTTCATTCTCATTAATTTATTAGTTGTTTCCTTGGGCGGCATGATTTTAAATATTTTTAATTGTGTAAAGTCTTCAGGAGAAAGAAGATGTACAAATGCAGGCAGAGAGTCTTCCCTGATATGCAATATTAATTGGAAATATGGATAGTTTTGATTGGAAATATGGATATGTACATGAGAGACTTCATAAATAGGAGTATCATATTTGTGAGGGTTAATTTTAATGTTTTTTAATTAAAATATTTAATATTTGATAAAATTTAATATTGTAATCTAAGTCATCATCATATGGCTAAAATTAAATTATTTAATCTAATATTATTTTAATTATTCAGTTTATATTTTTTATAATTTAATAAATTCATAATTATTTGCTCTATATTTTTTTAAATTTTTATATTAATTATTAAAAATTAAGTTTGTTATTGGAACAATAATAAGCTAAATGCGATGAAAGATGTTTGTTTTTGTCCGACATATTTCTAAATCGAGCTCAAGAAAATTATTTATATTTTACTCTTTAGTTTATCAAACGAATTGAATACGAGCTTTGATGACAAAAATTCTTCTCACTTCTTAAGTCAAACCGAGACTTGGATTGCGGCATTCAAAGACCTCTGAAACTCTTTTCTTTTTCCTCTCTCGGTCATGCTATTCCTCCGGTCTTTGGGGTGCAATGACCTTCAAAGCTTCATCTTTCTCCTCCTTTCACCATTCAACAAAAATGACATTTTTAAATCTCATTTCTCTCTCGTTTCTCCGCCAGAACTCCGTCAATAAAGCCATTTCTAAATCCTTTATGTTCTTAAATCCAGTCTTTTCTCCATTTTGCCGAAGTCGTTATCGGAATCCTTGCAGGTGTTTTTTTTGTAAATTAGAAGTTTAAGGTGTGAAATATGTAAAAAGATAAGTTTCGAGTGTTATGAATGCAAAATCCCCTTCTGATGGACATGCTTCAAAGAAAATGGCATGCTTGCATGGGCCTTCATATGGGCCTTCAAAGAAAATGCTTGCATGGGCCTTCAAATCCTTCAAAGAAAATGACATGCTTCGCTCTTTCTGATTCATTATGGGCCCGGCTTGAATTTCATTTTTAATTGTTCGGTGGCCCAATTAAGGTCATAAAGATGAAAAATTATTGCATGTGGATACCACATAAAAAATTTGGTGTCCGATCTGAACCATAACAAATTTAAAGTGTACCTCATTCTAAAAAAAAAAAAATGTATTTTGGCGGTCCAGATCCGACACCGCAGGAAATTTGCGTGCGGTGTCCGTACACAATAAACGCTGCATACAGATGTCATGTTATTCTACAAAAATTAATCAAACTACCTGCCTGATTGCAAATGGAACATAGATTTAAATGAATGTTTATTTTCATTTATTTATAATGCAAAAATATAATTGCTATTTTTGAGCCAGCTTAGTTTCACTCAACATACTTAAAATGTATTATAATTTTTTTTATCAAAAAAATACCATTAGTTTTTTCTTTTCAAAAATCAGTGTTTTATTTCCAGTTTTAATTTATGAAAACCATTTATTAGTCTGTAAAATATATTATCATTAATAGGATCGACCAAATGGGCATTTAGATATTATTTCAGAGTTTGAAACCAATACTAATGTCTATTTATATTTAATTAAATAATGTATTTAATTAATCGGAATATGATATCTAACATGATGTCAATGTAAGAAATTAAACTTATCCATGTCTAATAAATGCATAACGAGTTTTTTTTGTTTTTTCGATATTAATTAGTATATATTTACATATAATGATTTAGAAATTGTATGTTTTGTTAGGGCTGTCGGTACGCGTCTGGTGAGTCATTGTGAGGCATAAAGTGAAGAATTTGGGCACAAAGATACTAAAAACTGAATATTCATTCGAAAGCCAATTATTTTCTTTTCTTTTATTTATAAATTTGCATATTTAACACACAAATTTCAATTTTTACATACAAACCACCTTGTTTATACATGAAAAAAGGTATATTTGACTTGATAAGAATTAAAATGAGGGCATTTGTTATGCCATATGTAAGATAAAAATGGTATAAA